AGAAATCTGTAGTATTGTGGCTATACATTTATTACAGAGATGTATTATGATACAGGTTGGACTTCCTGGTCCAGCACCCTTGGAACCTCAGTGGTTCCAAAGGAGGAAGTTTGCCAACCAGGGGAGGTCAGGTATAGGGCTCTCCTGGGTTTTCCCTCCTGGCCATTGGACTGGCCAGTGTGTTCCCCCAGCTGGTTGGGGAGCTTCACTCCTGGCTGCCACATTGCTCTGGCCAGTGGAGCTCCCTGCCCCTGGACAGTGGAGGCTTCCCTGCCTCTGACTGCTGGCAGCTCCCCGCTTCTGGCTGGTAGCAGATCCACACCTGTGGCCAGCAGGGACTCCGTGTCCACAAGAACAGTGTTCTACTTTCGGCTGGCAGGGCCTCTGCCCTGTCTTGCTCTGGCTGCTGACTGGGTTTCCTTCCCCCAGGTCATTGACCTGCTGGACCACGGATGTTGCCAAACCAGAGAGTCCCAGACCACAGCGGTTCAACTTGTAGTATTTTACAGGTGCTATGTAGCATAATTTAAGCATGTATTTCACAGTGCTAATAATTTAATATCTTCAGACATTAATAAAATCCATTCTAAGCTCAAAGATGGACTCAATGGAAATTGAAATGACCTTTAACAATAAGAGAATACCCAAATAGCATTCTGTAAAAATAAAGCTTTTTAACAAAGGTAATACAAAGGCTATTACAAAGACAATATCCTATGTCACGCAGTTACCTACAGCATGAAATGTAAAGCAACTCACTATAAAGTTAGAGAGACTAAGAAAAAGAAGTATTGGAGAGTAACTGAATCGCATAGTACATTTACTTTAGTAGTTAGATTCACCAGATCACAAAAAAATAGATAATATGCAATATGTTAAAATATAGTCATTTTATTTAAAAAACTTTGGAGTAAGAGAGTGTATAGAAAGAAATATTTGATATATCAAATTAGGAAAATAATAAATAAGCATGACTTTTTTTGTTCCGTGATTGTACATTATCTAGCACTGGCATCCTGGTCTGAGTCACTTAGGTGCTGCGGTAATTAAAAACAATAATGAATAAAAAATATCATTGTTATTTAAACTGTTAAATTAAGAAATTGTGATATGCTGCAATACTAAGCAGAATGTCTCTTGACTATTGGTCCATCACATAAATATGCAAAGGAATCAAATGAAATTCTGAACATTTTAAAGTTTGATTATTTTTTAAAAGACCAAATGTATTGTAACATAATTGTGCTATTGTACTTTAAGGTCCAGATTTCCAGCTGGTGCATGTTAATTAAAGTCTACTAGTTCGGTGCAGCAAAACCATGTGAGAATCTGTTGAGAAGTGTGTTAATTTATTTTTATGAATATTTTAGTAGAAGTAGCAATACTGTAGGTATAACTGAAAATGCTGAAAAGCAAAGCATTGACAAGACCATTAAGCAACCATTTTTATGGCCTCTGATATTCAGCATTAATCCTACTATCATGACATGGCAGGAAAGTTTAGTGTTTGCTTGATTACAGGAAATCAATATTAAGTCATACCAGTTACAAGAGTCTATTGTTTTTCTAGATGGCAACCTGATCATTTATCTCTCTGAGATCAGCAATAGTTATATACTGATTAGATATTCACACCCTGGTGTAAATTTGCAGCATTAGAGGAATCATCATAAACTCTTTTGAAAAAATGGAAATAGGATACCATTAAACTAAACAGTGGCACACCATCATCTGAAGTAGTGTGTTCAGTTTTGATTGCCTCATATAAGCTGTGTCTACACAGTTTCCCCTCCACCTCAGAATCATCTAACGATTGACTGTGGCAGCAACAGTGGGAATGAGGATGTAGAGTGGTCACCAGCATATTACCACTGGTTGTCTAACCCCTTTTATATCAAGTCTAGAAGATATATGGTGGCAATCCACCTATTACTCAATTCTCTAAAGCTGCACCTGTGCTAGCAAGATTTATAAAAAAAAATTAAGGACAATGAGGTGAGTATTAACAAGCTATTTCAGAAGAAACTGAAATAGAATCGATCCCGAAAAGTTAATCAGTGGTTGATCTTACATTTCAGAGGGAATGACCAAGCCTAAAATTATTTAGCATGGAAAGGTAAAGAATTAAGGAGAATGTGATGGATTCTGGCAAGATTTATGAGCTTTTGTTTTTAACTCAAGCAAAGATACTGTTTAAAATGCAGTGAATTGACTTAAATTAATCTTTGTAAAAAGGATGCACAGAAATGTTAAGAAAAATAGTTGTTATATTTACAAAACAAGAACCTCCTATAATCCTAAACTTAAGTAGAATGTTTCACATATAATTCAAATTTACTTAGACAAATTCGCCCTCTTCACTGTGTCTTTGCCTTTTACTCAAGTTATTTTTAATGAAGAATGAGAAAGCAACCTTCTATTAAAGACATAAGGACAATTTCTCCTTTAAAACTGAAAGTACTTCTGATTGAGCCATATTTATAAAGAGAAATCAGCCTCCGGGCCAAAATTTAATTTTTTTAACTCTTAATTTAAACATTATGGGTTCAGTGGTTGATGGGAAAGGAGAAACGGGTCCTGTCAGACCTGGATACACACAGAGAGAGATGATAGCATAGTGTTCTATTCCATTTAATGAAATGCTTGTAGCTCTGAAGAACAGATGTCAAAAGAGAGAGGTGAATAAGATATTAGTCAGTTTTTAAAAAATATTTAAGTCCTGACACTTATCTAAAAGTATGTGTTATAAAAAAAATAGGTGACTTTTCAAAATATCCTAGTGCTTCCAGAACAAATGAAGATAGAAAAATGCTGATGAGACACTTTAGTGGAGACTTCCTGCTGTGCTGGCTTAAAAAGCAAATATGAGATTGACATGCAAAAACATTTGTGCAATGTCTTTGTAATCAATTATACATGAACATTAAATACTTCAATTAACTAGCAAATTTTGCATCAAAACAGTTCAAAATGTTTTTAACCCTATTTTCTCTGCAATTCTTTTATTATATATGTGCTCAAAAGAAGAAAGATCGCTTTTTATTATGTAGAAATATTTATGCAGATTATGTATTATTAAGAATATCTACTTATTTAAAATAAAACTGGAAAAGTAAGCTGAATTGTGAATTGCTGCTCAACTCCCTGAGTTTTTTTATAGGAATTTTTAAAACTAAAATTATTTATTATTGCTTCTACAATTCTTTTTTATAATATTTTTAGAGTCACACTTGAATTGTCAGAAGCTTTGAACAATTAGTTGAAAAATTCCTACAAGAGATAACTCAACTTCCTTTTTCATGTTAGTGCATATTATGAGCTGGATTTTTAAAACCCAGCCTTAGTTTTTCGGAAATGAATTTGCAGTCAGTTATTTGTATGGGCAGTGTATTTAATAGTTGTCTATCCTGTAGATATAAAGTAGCAATAAGGCAGTTCAGTTGCAACATGACACATATTTTGTCAGTGCTGCTTCTTATAGCTGCTAAGTGACTATTTAAGGAGTTAAATAATAACTTAATAATAATAAATACAAATTGCTGCACTAAGACTGTTGAATACAAAATTTTGAATTTTGTTTCTGATTTTGCTAAATATGAAAATAACTTTGTCTTTTTATGCCACTTACCAGTCCTAGGTTTCAGGATCTACCAGATGCTACCTTCTCATTTTGTAGAGCGTTTGTTTCATAATTACTCTTACGAGTTTGCAGTAGAAAGTACTGTACTTTCTTATTTGCTGCTAGTTAAACCAATGTTGTTCTTATCCACAGGAACTTTAGGTAGTCGCTAGATGGCAGCAAATATTCACAAGTAGTTTTTACTTCTTTCTCCATGTAGCATTCAGTGACTAGTCTATAACATAATGAAAAAGCATAAATAGGTTTTGAAGTCTTACGAACAACCTATCAATGCAACACATTCTTACCATTTTCTTCCTTAGCTTCACATTTTACTATGGACATATTTACTTTTGAGCAAAATCTAAATTAAAATTTAAAAAGAGTAATTAGAATGACTAAAGTAGAAGCAAGCTTGTTTTTGACTGATTTTGCAGACTTTGCTATCATCTGTCACCTTTCAGTTACATTCTGAAACCACAACTGTGTACTAGATGTAGGAGCAGCCCTAGCCATTTTGCTAACTAGGGTGGAAAATATTTTCACAGTGCCTCTTACCCTGCCATTGGCGACTGAGCCAAAAGGGGGGAAAGGCTGACCAATCAGCAGAGCAAAAAATAACAATAATAATAGGAAAAAAGGCTGGCCAGGCATAGTGGAACAAAACAAAATGCCCAAAGCGTGGTGTCCCTGGAATTTCCCACCCATGGTGAGTGCCTTGCTTGCCTACCACTGGCCCCGGCTAGAGGCCATGTGTATGTGAAAGTTCAAAGATAAATGGCAGGTGAGTCCAAATCCTATTTTTGTAGACAGCATATGAAGATGTAAAAGTCTGATATGCCAGTGTTGTTAGATTTGCAAAATATCTATATCCATCCTATTGCCACAATTCCAGGACATTTTCCCTTATAAATATGTCGTCTTAAACACGTATCAGTATATAATTGAAACATTGATTTAAGTCAGATTGCAAACTCACATTATCTCAGGCAGGGAGTATGTTTATGTGGTTAAAGTTTGAAATATGAAATTCACATGAGCCTTGTTAATAGAAGGAATACAAATTCCTTGTAGTAGAAGTATCTATTGTGTGATCTTTTAATTTAAAAATTATAAACATTAGAGAAAATCATTTATGTTCTCAAGTATCTGAAATATATTGTGAAAAAGGTACCATGGTGATTCATATTTTAGAAATGTGTATATATAGGTGGTTCAGAAGGGATTTTTATATTATTATTTTAGTATAATTAAATGGAAAGCTACAGACACTTTCTCTAATCTAGTGCTAATGGTTTGAATTCAGCATCTTATGAACTTAATGCTTCTGTTTTCCTCTAATATGCAAGTTCAATTTTTGTATCTCTCTTCCAACTTACAGATTGCTCTTGGAACAGTAACTAATGTGGAGGAAGCAGTAAAGTGGATAAGTTACACTTACCTTTATGTACGGATGAGAGCAAATCCATTAGTATATGGCATCAGTCACAAGGCTTATCAGGTAGAAAACGCATTTTAAAAAAAATTAACTTGCTTTCTGGTTCTGTAATCCTTTCCTGATGTAAGGATAAATATTTGCTATTTCTGCTTATATGACATCAGCAATTTTGTGTGTGTTTGAAAGGGAGAAAATATTTTCTATAGCAGAGTGTTATTTTGTTTAAAAAAAGAGGTTGAAAAGGTCCCTTCTGTTGAAAACTTTTATCTGCTAGCTTACAAAATATGCTTTCAATGGCCAAATTTGCAATCAATGCATAGCACTCACTTTTATCAAAACACCTATCATGCCTTAGTCACTGTTAGCATTTCAGAAGTACAAGTCAGATATGAGTTATACAGCCAAGTCTTTCTGAAGCCATAACTCCGCTTTACACACAGTTTTTCCTGTGTCAAGTATTTATTTTAGAAGACCTTGCCACTTGCACGATCATAAATTACTAGACAGCAGAATTGTTAACTTAACAGATTAATAACATCAAATGTTTAGTTATATTAGAAGTCTTTTTCTTTTGGTACCTGATCGTTTTAAGAGGTTTTTTCCTTTGTTTAATATTTTATAGATATTATTTTGTGTATTAGAATCAGAACACAAATATATTTTTCCCAGTAGAATTCACTATTTTTACATTTCAGGGTGGTTCATAGTTTACGGGAAATGTAAATGTCTGTTTTCTCTTTAACCATAATATATATGCTCTACTAGAGCTTGCAACAAAAATAATTTGATAAGCAGGAAAGGAATGTAAACTGGTGGAAGAGAAAAATGAAGGAAATATTTGCTTGGAAGATTTTTTTTAATGGCAACTGTTTGAAATTGTTTAGAGGCTTTAGTGGTAGATATAGTCCTCTTGGATGCGATGTAATGGTCAGAGTGCAGATGAGATGGTCAAAAGTTCATGGTAATTAATTTATTTCACATCTCCACAATTTGTTGCATAGCTTCATAGCTTGTCACATGAATATCAATATCCATGTTTTGAGTATGTAAAACGTTTATAACAGTATGCCTGTGTCAGGATTCAGGTCTAATATCTTTGTCCTTTAGTGTTGGAAGTTGGATTTAAACTATAGGGAAATTGGGTAAGATTTCCATAGTTCTCAATACATTATAGTGTAATGAACATTTTTATGGGCACTGATTTATGGCTTTCTGAGTGCAGTCATCTCATATACCAATTAATAAAGTACTGCATTATCATGTATTTATATATGGTTTACAAACCTTACATAATCTAAGATGTTATCAAATATTATATTTAGCTATGACTCAACAGTGGGAGTTTTGAAACATCCTAACTCTGTAGAATTATTTTGCACTCTAAGTCTCTGGCAGCAGTATTGAGTTCTGTGGCAAATTATTAATTGATTTAATCATGCTTCTCCCACTCTGCAAAGTTTTTTGTCCACATAACTTCTATATGATGGTGTTTTACAATGTTTTTAAATTTTGGAAAATCCCAGACTCTTCCCTTGTTAGTCCTCTTAGGAAACCTGTAAATAAATATGTATATCTGATATTCTGAAAGAAAGGCTTTGCTGCTTAGGAATATGGGGAAACAAAGAAGAAGATGAATATTAAAATGGATCAAAGAATTTCTAAAATGACATCCTTTTCAACGTTTTGACAGCCCATATTTGGGCTTCCTGATTTTTTTTTCTTTCATTTCAATTTTGAATATTTCATTAAAATGTAAATATAAAAAGAAACTGAAATTTCTTCTGATTTAGGCCTTGATTCTGTAAGCTTACACACGTGCGTAACTTTATGCGCATGAATAGTGTTCAGTCTTCTGTAGTGGCTAGGAGGCTGCTGTTTTTAGCTGCGCCTGACCTGTTGTTGCAGTTGCAGGTGTTTAGGAGGTGAAATTGTCTGATTTGGTAAGGGCTGCTCTAGGCGTGTTCTCTGTTGTTAAAGTCCTTCAGGATTCCTCATTGTAGAGTTCTGAGGACTCTAATCACAAAGGCACATACCTATGGAAGTGTATTGCTCAATTTTTTCAATTTGGCAAAGTCAAAAGTTTTTTGTGCTCCCTGCTTACATTTACTATAAAAGTAAGAATAAAAATGTAGCCATGATAAGCCTATATATGTCTCTTTTTCAAAAGAGATTAACATTGAATACTTGCCCCTGAAGTATGCAAGTATCTTTTCATTAATTATAATAAAATGTTGAATGCTTCAAATTCTTTTTGTCACTTCTGACACCTTCCTTCCCTTGGGCGTTGTGACTCATTTAGGTCAAGATATACTGCTCTGGAGCTGAGTCCCCAAGGCATTAGACTTGAAAGTATGGTTAGAGTGAATTGGTCTATGGCAGTGGTCCCCAACCTTTTGGGGCTGCTGGGTGCGTGGCCCATGCATGCGCCACACGCCCAGGGCAGGGGCCGTGCATGCGCTGTGCGCCCAGGGCGGGGGGCTGCCCGTGCACCCGGGGCACAAGAATGGCTCAGGCCAGTCCTGGTCAGTAAGTGGGCACACACAAATGCTCTGGAGGGCACCATGGCACCCCTGGGCACCGCACTGGGGACCATTGGGCTATGGTGTAGCCCTTAGTCCCTGACGGATGGCTATGAGCTGTAACCAGGGAGTAGACATCTAGAATCTGCAACCAGGGAGCAGCAGACAGGGGCAACCAGTGCTGGGCACAACTATGGGCCATCAGGTCAGTCACAATTAAATGTTAGTAATAAATACAGTAACATCATCATTAGTAATTCATGGTTGTAACTACCCAGAATCAATTAACTTCCCCATTTGTTGAAATGCAGTATAATTTGAGGATGAACCAGAATAAACTGCATTTTCTCATTTTTTTTCATTTTTGATGTGTAGCAACTTTCTGTGGACTTATTGTGAGTATGACACACCAATGAGGTCTGAACTAATTATTGGTTTGATAATCATGGACTGATTTTGTTTTGCAACTGTGTTTTGTTTCTGGCTTTAAAAAAGCTGGATTATCTCAGTGAAATACCTAATTTTGCACTTTTGTACTTTGTGCATGGTCTTCAGATGGATCCCGGACTAGAGAAGCACAGAGAACAATTGGTGATTGAAGTTGGCAGGAAGCTAGACAAAGCCCGTATGATTCGTTTTGAAGAGAGAACTGAATTTTTTTCTTCTACAGATTTAGGCAGAATTGCCAGCCACTATTACATTAAGTATAATACTATTGAGGTACAACAACCTGCTACTTCTGGTATACTTTTCTTTTTAACCCTTTATATAAAATGGTCACAGGAAGATATTATAGCACATGCAGATGTCTTTTTCAAATCATGGTTTCTTAAAAAACACCTAAGCACGTGGCAATAGTGAAAGTTCAGAAGCATTGATTTGGTCAGATTTGGTTTTGGATGATGAATTCTACATTCTTTGCCTCTTCCTAAGACCCTGATATTCACCTGCATATCCATTTGCCAGTAACAGCTCTTCCGTGCTCAGAGCCCATTAATATAAATGTTTCTGTGGGTGCAAATGCAATCACCTTTTCATTCATGTGATAGAGTTTATCTGTTCAGCACTGGCAAATGTTAGTCTGCTGAAGCATGCAGAAATATTTGTATACACCAAAAACTGTTTCTACTCTGTTGGAGGATGGGAGCTGAAACTCTGTCTATAAAACTTGCTTGTGAGTAACAGGAGTTTTCCTTGAATAAGAACTATGATAATGGCCTTCTACATTTTTTAACTGTTGTTGCTTTATAATTAGACATATTCATTTATACATTTGAACCTCTAGCATAGCCAAGATTTTTTTTTCCAGAAGTTACTGTGGATTTGGGGTACTTCAGTTTTTGGGTCCCCAACTGAAGACAACTTAAAAGCAGCTCTTTTTTTTTTAAAGAAAGGTCTGAGAAGGCTTGCTGACCTTCTCTTCTTCTAAGAAGTCATGAGCTGGGTATCCACACTTAGTTACTTTTAAAAATCTTGGAAAACTTGTAGAATTATTTTTAATTTTAAGTTTGTAGGTCAAAATAATTGTTTACACAATTTTATTTTTATAATAAATCAAATCATTTTATTTTTATAGACTTTCAATGAACTTTTTGATGCTCACAAAACAGAAGGTGATATTCTTGCTATAGTATCTAAGGCAGAAGAATTTGAACAGATCAAGGTAAGATTGTATCACTTCATCCAGAAGGACACTTTTTAATGTAAGTAGACCGTAATCCACAGCACCAAGTCCATAAAATGCATGACCAGTGGTTGGAGAATGAGTGGGGCTTTTAACTCTACACTCTGAGTTTCATGACTAACTGACATCCATAGCCTGTTGGAAATGGCCCCCAACTGGGTCCCAATAGGGGCCAAACATTTACCCTCTTTAAATAAACTTTAAAATGAAGACTGTCAGTAAATCAAAAAATATGTAGATTTATGGTGTGCTTTGAATTCTCATCAGTGAGAGTGTAAAATGTTATGCATTATTCAAACTGTAGATATGAATATTTCTTTACTTGTATTAAGACTTAATCTTATTAACAATGAAAATTCTAATATCATGAATCATAGTACTTCACAGTTTTGAGCTAAGAACATATTATGCTACATGCAAACTATATGACTATAATGAATGCATTTAATGTTAATTCAAATTTGCCCTAATCCAGATGGACAGAGGTTTTACTCTGGTCAAATAAAAAATGAAATCTCATCAGATGGAAGATGGTAGGGTCAGAAGATTCAATTTTTGTGGCATATCAAATTTTTGTGTGTCAATGGCAACCTTAATAGATAGTGATGAATAATAAAATGTAATTGTGTCACTATTAAGATAGTTTAAATTAGGTTCTATTAACTACAGTCTAGGAGATATTTTTTATTTTGTGTAAAAGTAGACAGTTTTTAAAATAATGTCTGTAAGAGATAATGGAAACTTAATTTAGTGTGAAAGTTTTTACCACGTTACTCCAACCTTTTCAAACCTATTAATTGTGTTTTAGGTAAGAGAAGAAGAAATAGAGGAGCTGGATGCCTTGCTGAACAATTTCTGTGAACTTTCTGCTCCTGGAGGTGTGGAGAACAGTTATGGGAAGATAAATATCCTTCTTCAAACATATATTAGCCGAGGAGAGATTGATAGTTTCTCTCTCATTTCAGACTCTGCATATGTTGCACAGGTAAAAAAAATCCATAAAATCTATTCTTTTGTCTGTCTTCACATATTTCATTTACCCAGATGTATGGATAGGTATGTGGGCCGAGATTTTCAAACATGTATGCACATATGATTTGAAATTCTGAGCACTAACTATTGTGATTTTTATACAGAATATAATTGGTATGTGCTAATTTAGAAGGCAAAGTTGTACTTTTGAAATTAAATTTAAATTAGTTTTCCAGTACAGCAGCCATTAACTTTTGTTTATTATATTTTGTACTTTAACGCCTTGTACGAAGTTGCAGTTTAGTCTTAAACTTCAGTGTTTCCTTAAATTTACCCCCAAAAAATCATTCTGTTTAGCTTTTTTGCATTCTAATTTTACACATTATAAAATTGGCTCACACCAGAATGTGCTATATTAGTTTTACAAATCATAAGTAGATTGCATGGGTGTGGGAAAACGACAGTGATAAGAATTGGTTTAAGTTTATTTCACATAAGATTAAATAACTAGATTCACCGTAGAAGTTCACCAGCCATATACAGATTGCATTTGCTTAATTTGAACATATGCTTATTTGAGAGGGAGTATCTTGAATGATCTTGTAGAGTGGCAAAATATAACTTCAAGATGTTTATGCATTGCGACAGGTAGTGTTTGGACTTAATAAGAAACATGAAAGGGGACCTCAGATATTATGGAAAACCCCTCCACTGCTGGGGTCTACACTAAGCTGACAGCTCTTGATTTATGGCTTAATTTAACACCCAATTGGTCATCAACTTGAGGGGATGCTTGGTCATCCCATGGATACAACAGCACAGGAAATCTGTGCAATATTGCTGCTTCTTCACAAGTCAAGGGTCCATCTCAGAAAGTCGGGGCCACTTGAAATTCCCCTGAAGAAGACATCTGTTTTCTGACCTTAGAAAAAGGCAGATGATATAATGCACACCTCATAAACAACTAATATGTCAACCAATATTAAATGTGTGTGATGTTTTATAAGGTTGTAGCTTTTGGGCCAATTTAGGAATATTTGTCTCTTCGTTAATAATCAGCACAGCATGTTGTGGACTAGTGCTGTCACATCCTGCCAAACCATTTTAAGAAGAAATAATAAAAATTGTATTTAAATGGCATTAGAGATGAGAATTAAACATTGAAAAGCATAGGTATTCTGAGTTAAGATTTTCATGCCACCTTAGCTTTTTATAGTGCACATTGCCTTGCTGGGATCATTATACATACCATAAAGATTGTGATATGTGCAGAACAAGATCATTTTAAGAAAGGTCTCACAATTGCAGTTTATAGTTTTTATTTGTTTCTTAACTGTAGCATTTTAAAGCAGGTATTATGGTCCCGTACTCAGGTGCTCAATTCATAAATGTGTGTAACCAGTTACATGGGTGCTAGAGCTTAGAATCATACGTTTAAAAAAAAATGCATGTCTACTCTGAACAGTGACTATTTAAAAAAATGTGCTTTTTCTTTCTCAGTTGTAGAATTATAGCTGCATGCTTTAGTGACAAATGTTTTAGTACTTCTTTTTTTTTTTAACTCCAATCAGCACTGCAGATCTAGCATACAGTGAATGCTGCACTGCTTAGTGAATCACCAATAGAACTGCTAGATAATTTCCCACAGTAAAGTCAAATTCTTTCCTCCCTTACACCTGGGCAATCCCACTGAAACAATGGGCTTGCATGCTGTGTGATTTGGCCGGAACTGGCCTGCAGAATGTTTGTCATTGTTGTAGTAGATGAGTGTGGGATAAATAGAATATTTCTGATGTAAAATATATGAAGAATTAATCTTAATGTTCAGATGCTAAGTTAAGTTTATAGGGAATGGAAATCAAAACCAGGGACAGGAGTCCTACGGCAGACCTAGCAATTGAATATAGTACTCCTAACTACCAGACCTGGGCTTTATTCGTGAGACCATGCTCCACCACAACATGAATGTTCCATTTTAATTTTTTTAACATGGTCAGGTTAATCATAACAAGAAAAAGTATTACCATCAAAAATCATTTGTTTCCTACAGCAGTAGAAACATTTACGATCGTCTCAGAGGGGTAGCCATGTTAGTCTGTAACTTTAAAAATGAGTGGTCCTGTGACACCTTAGAGCAGGGGTGTCCAAACTTTTTTCAAAGAGGGCCAGATTTGATGAAGTGAACATGCGTGAGGGCCGACCATTTTGCCTGACATTCTTTGAACCATTAAAATTAAATGCAAATTAACTATTTTATGCAAAGTTTATTGCAAACGGCAAACGACATAACACCAACTATACATGTTGTGTCCAAATATATTTATAACTGATTTAGACCAACTGACATTAACTGAGATTTTACAATGTAGTCATCTCAATTGAAAAAAAAACTTGCCTACACTAATGTGAAGGGTGAAACTGAGATCTGGACTGCAGTACATAGGCTAGGTCTGGTTCAAAGGCAGTGGTTTTGATGCGCAAAATGTCACGCAGGTGAGAGTCACTTAGTCTTGTCCTCACGCGGTTCTTGTTAAAGTTCATAGCAGAGAATGTCTTCTCACACATATATGTTGAGCCAAACAAGCTCAGCATTTTCTTAGCCAATGTTCGAATCTCTTGAAACCGGCTCTTATCCAGTTGGCGGTAAAAGTTCACAAGAGAGAGCTGTTGGTGACGACTGCGCGCCAGTTAAAAAAAGCACCGGGGAGCCGGGAGAAGTGGGGGGCCGTATTAAATCCGACCGCGGGCCGCATTTGGCCCGCGGGCCGGACTTTGGACATGCCTGCCTTAGAGACTAACCAAAATATATAGTATCGTGAGCTTTCATAGGTAAAAATCACCCATGAAAGCTCATGATAATCTATATTTTTGTTAGTCTCTAAGGTGCCACAGGACCACATGTTTTTGACAGTTCTGTGATTGTATGTATTTATTGTCATAATTGCAGTAAGTAATGATGAAGCAGTTTTAAGAGATGCAAACAATCATTAGGTAGAAGCTGCAAAATAAATTTTTCAGGAATATTTTAGCTAAAACTTAATTAAAATATTATTTTGGTAGTCTGAAACAAAACCTACTGTATATGCTATATCCAATGAGAAATGTTTTGCTCTGATTTTAATACTTTTCTGCATCTTGATGTTTCACTCTGTAGAATGCAGCTCGTATTGTTCGAGCCCTTTTTGAGGTTGCTCTTAGGAAACGATGGCCTGCAATGACATACCGACTACTGAACCTCAGCAAAGTCATTGACAAGAGGCTGTGGGGCTGGGCCAACCCTTTGCGACAGTTCTCAGTGCTACCACCATCGGTCCTCACGAAACTGGAGGAGAAGAACCTCACAATAGATAAGATGAAGGACATGAGAAAAGACGAAATAGGTAAAAAAAACACAATAAGCAATGTTTAAACAAAACCTTTGCCTCTATGTTCTCAACTTTACATTGAATAGAAACTTGATACAGATTGAACCTCTCTAGTACAGCACCCTCAGGTGCTAACTGATGCTGAACCAGAAAATGTGCCTAACAAGGGCAGGTCTATATAGCAGCATTACCAATACTTCTACTGCTTACTGGGCTCTTAGAAGACATCCAAAGGTAATTTAGAGCTAAATAACAACACAGAACACTGAGAGCCAGGACTGATCGGTAAACAAATTTTATGGATCCATGGGAAACTTGGCCACACTCATGATAAGTGGACATCCGACTAACTAAAATCATACTGGAGCATGGATGTTGCCAGACCAGAGAGCAATGGACTAGAGAGATTCAGCTCTATTAATCCCATTGATTTCTCACAGTTGACAAATTAGATCATTCATTGCTTGCAACTTGTATACAGTTTACGTGAAAAAGAATGAAAGGGGAATAGCAAGGGATGCTACCAATAAATGGTTCATGCCTGTTTTTGAATGATCAAATTCATTTTCATTTAACCTGAGGAGTTCATTGCCACAAGATTATCATTGCAGCCAAGAGCACAGTGTCATTTAATAAAGGATTCGCTATATATCAGTAATGAGGACATCCACAATTACATTTATAGGAATAAAAACAATATTAGAATGTTCATATAAACCTTGACTTTAAAACAAAATGGGTAATGAAAATCAAGTGTCTTCCCCTGGGACGTATTTATTTACAGTTCAATTGATTGTCAGATTCTCTGAAAAAATTAGTTTAGTCTTTGTGGAATCAAGTTTTATCAAGTTAAAAATGCATATTTTAAGCAGCCAGTTTCTTGGGTTAGCAGATTATATTATTCTGAATTTTGAGAAGTCATAGATATTTCATATAACATTCTCTCGGTGTGACTCTAAAACAGCACCACCGCGTCACCTGATAGGTCCTGATTCTGCAATGCCAATAGAGGCAGATCCCTCTACAGAGCTGCAGAGGGTCTTCATACAGGCACAAGGTTTCACCTACATGCATCACATTGTAGGACTGATCTTCTGTACAGTCTTTTTGAGCTAAATAACTGAACTGTAGGAACACCAATATTTTATATGTCTTGATGTTTTGCTTTTGTTTGTAAGAAAAATAGTGACATGACAAGATGAATAAGGGCATGTCTGGACTGGAGAAGTTGTACCCATTTAATTAAATTGATTTAAAACCAATCTAGTAAAAATGGTGCACACTCTTAATATAGATACACTTAATATACACACGTAAGCAAGGATTAAACCTGTTGTGTCTACATGGGGAGTTTGCATTGCTTTAACTAGATCAATTTTAAATTGAGTAAAGCCTAGTCTACGTGATAACGTTATATAGTTTTAAATCAATCTATTTACATACTGATTTACTTAAATCAGTACAACCTCCATGCATAGATATCAGCATAAGTGCCTCATATCGATTCAACTTAAGTAGGCAAGAATCAGCTTAAATAAAATCAATGTAAGGTACTCTTAAACCGAACAGGAATGCATATAAGATGGGACTGCATTTCTAAAAAAATTGAGTTAGATCTCTACAGGCCCATTGATGAGGGGCACAAAAGGGGGAAATTTCACAGAGATCACCATCAGCATCACAGTGGGGACAAGGCAGGCTTCCCGTGCTGCTCCCAGATGTGGTCAGCAAATCTCAGTATACCCTGTGGGGAGGGTCAGCATGTGCTGCCTCACCCTGAGCACTGACTCTACAGTTCCAAGTCCCATTGGTCTGGAATAGTGGCCTAGGGGAGCTGCTGGGATGGTGCCTGGTGGCATCAGTGCATGGAGACCCCTGTTCCCGCAGAAGCCACTGCCAGAGGGTTATGCTGGTCATTTTGGGAGATGCCTGAAGTAAACACCATTCCCTTAACCCCCTTGTGCATCCCCACCCTCATCCCTGTCCTGTGCCCAAACTCCATCCCAGAACCTCCATCCCAATCCCACCTTGGGGAAAGTTAGTGATGGTGGGGGAAAGCTAGTCACCTGATGAAAGAGGGATGAAGTGACTGGGGTGAGACCTCAGAGGAGAGGCAAGACAGAGTTGTGGCCTCAGGAGAGGAGCAGGGGTGAGAGAGGATCTTTGGGTTTGCGTAATTAGACAATTGTCAACCCTTCAAGCAAGCAAGTTTAAGTTCTGACCAGGCCAGAAGAGCACACCCAGGTCTCTAGACAGCAGCCAGTGAAGGTGCAGCGCCACCCAAATATCAAGTAGACTGTGTCTAGGCAGGCACAGCTTGTGCACGTGTGGAGCCAATTGACTGTTCTGCCCTGGAGCCCAGAATTATTGTTGGCAGGCCTGGATCTGTACATTTATCTGGTGTAAGCAAGGCCTTCATTAAATCAGCACTTTTTTTCTAGTATAGATAAGGTCTGAGTCAGGGAGATACAACCATCTTGTGAAGCATGTTGGCCACAGAGAGAAAACCAAAAAAAATATTATTTTTAAAGATACTAGGGGGCTGCCCCTTGCTCGCTATGCTCGCCGACCCCCCACTCTCTGGCCCAACTTCAAGTTCTTATGTTCCTAAGTTTAATGATAAATACTGAAATAATGGGGAAAGTTTTTCGTATCTTTTCTCAGTTATAGCCAGTATTTGCATAGGATTTCTTATCTACCATTGTATTGGGATTCGTATACAAATGCTGTATAATGGCATCAGAAAGGGTTAGACTGCCATTCGTAATATAGCTTTGCACTGTGAGCAGTATAACTATTATCATTGTATTTAAAATGTCAAAGTAAAATCCAGCAGAAGAGTTAATGCTGATTTTTTTTTCTGATCTGTACATTCGCTAATTCAAGTTGAATAATTACAAAATATTCCAACATACCGGGTAAAAAAAGTCAGTTACTTGCACACCAAACAGTGAAGCAAGCAAGCAATACCACCATCTCTAAAACCCTATTTAAAAGTCTGATTTGTATTATTTCTCCTGTAAATGCACATTTGTTTCACCTGCTTTTTTTGTTTATTTTGGCAGGTCACATGCTACGTCATGTGCATATTGGGTTAAAGGTCAAACAGTGTGTCCATCAAATTCCCTCCATTACAATGGAAGCAGCTATTCAGCCAATTACACGTACTGTGCTCCGTGTTAGGCTGAACATCACTCCTGACTTCAAGTGGAACGATCAGGTAGAAATAAAAAGGGTGGGGGAAAGCACTCTTCCAGTTTTTAGTAATTAGCTGAAAATTATAGTGAGAATTTAACTACTTGAATAATGTAAAAATGTAATTTTAAATAGTTAGAAAGACAACATAATCTACAGAGATGAATGAATTTTGAGGTGCCTAGGGAAAAATATACCTAAAGAAACTATTTTATCATTCAACTTAGTGTAAATAATACTGTACTCTTTTGTAATTTTATAAAAAAGTTGTTTTAAGAACAGATGTTATTATTGGAACCTTTGCACATTTACATTTTTAAACCATGCCAAAGTATAAGGTCTTGTCTACACAGGAAAATGATATTAATATAGGCTAAAGTTCTAGTCACAGGTAAGTTATATCAGTATGAATAGGTGAGAATTTGAACTAATAATTATACTTGTATGATTCCTCCATTCACCACCATTATCTCCCAACTGAACACTTTTATTCAGTTAGTCTATATTTCTTAGGAAGCTAAACTAACAAAGACAAACTTGTAATGGAATGAGTGACCACTTGGAGCTGTTGTATGGATATATGGTAAAACTTTTCATGCAAAATAAAACCTTGGGTACAAACAGGCTTCACTTCTCCATTAGGCACAAAAGTCTGGCTATGTCTAGACTGCAGCACTTTTCTGGGATAGCGGAGGTATCCCGAAAAAGCAACAGCGCATCCACTTTTTCAGAAAAAAAATTGGAAAAGCGGACACGCTCTTTCACCATCCCTGTAAACCTCTTTTTACAAGGAACAAGGGATGTGTCAAAAGAGGACTTTGTTCCAAAAGTTGGTGCCGTGTAGATGCGCCAATTTTCGGAAAAGCTTCTTTCGACAGTAAAGCAGAAAAATTTTCGCAAATTGTGTACTTGAAATTGCGTTTCTTTTTCCCACTTACCCTTGCAGTCTAGACGTAGCCTCTTAGTCTTCTCCACCTTTATGAGACTGGATAGATTGTACTTCTCAAAGCTAGCAATTAAATGCCTGTTCTTGGGTTAAGGTGCACATTTTAGAATTCCATTTTTAAAGCCAACCCCTCTGTTAAACAAAAAATGCATGCATCAAATTTAACTTGACCACAAAGTGAATATATTAGACTTCTGTTCTAAAAATAGATTTATACTCTTTTAAAAAAATTGTTTTTTCTAGTCATGAGGTCTTTTTTTTTTCTTTTGGAAAGGTTCTGTTTTAAGATTGTGAATAGGAGTAGTGATTAAAATACATGCAATTTCTTTCTGTTCACATCCTTGTCTGATTAAAAGAATATCTTTTATTGAATTGCTAACCTAACTTTGCATCAACTAATTTTGATGCCTTAATTTTGAACATGTACTGTTTTATATTACAAAAGGAGATAATTTGAAAGATTTAATTGAGCCTCTGTCTTGCATCAGTATTACCAATACAAAGTTCAGTACTGATGAGCCAATATATTATTAAGGACAAAACACTTTAACTTGAATCCATTTATATCATTGCCTTCTCAAGGCAAACCATAACATTTACCAAAGAAGTCACAATAATCTGGTTTTAGTTTGAGTTGTGTTCTAGTAAAGAGGAAGCATAGGGGACAATAGATTTTTGCCCAAGCTTATTGGCACAGTATTTCTTAATGCCTGATTTGGAAACATTACAAGCATTGTGTCAATTTGTATTATGGCGCTCTTAATATGTGAATATGTATATTGGAATTTATCAAATCCCGAAAAGGTTGCTGCATTTTTTGCTTTGCTGTGACACTGTATATCTGGTGAGCTTATAATTAATTATGAAAGAAACTTTATTATAGTAAAGAACTATAGTGATTTTAATTGTCACTGAAAATTAATTATCATTTTTAAATTTAACAGTTGGCAAAATATTAAAGAATTGCTTTCCCATCAGCTTACTTCTAGTATGCTGGTAAACTGCCAGAAGAAAACAATACAAAAAGAGCTGTCATCAGCACAAAAACTGACTACAAGGGAATCCCAGCTGTAATAAGACTAGAAATGCACCAGCAAAATCAGAATTGTAAAAATTCATGTAGTTAATTAAAATGCCTAACCTAGTTAAACATTTCTAGAGCATGCACCATAACAGTGTCTAGGGGCCAAATAAAGTAAAGTAATACAAAACTGGAAATCACAGTAGTTTGATCATATTTCTTGGATTGTTCTAGAGGTAGGTGAAGAAACAATCTTGCTGTTCATTTTATACTTTCATTTATTGGGAGAAGACCTTTGCAAAGAAAGCTATTTACTGTGTGTTGTAGAAAAGGTGAGACATGAGTTCATTCTTCTCTTTAATTACAGTGATTTCCAAAGATAGGAGCCCTTCAGTTCAACTAAATTCTATTAGCCAGATCCCTGGCTACAAAACTTTTCCTTTACCCTACTCTAGCATAGCAGGGGCTATGAAAAGCTGTTCTAATAGGGTAGTGAGCATTCCTTCAGTATGACAGAATTGAAGAGTGATACAAAGCCACACAGGTAGTATGGAGATCCCTGGGTCTTGTAGTGCTGGTTTAAATAAATGGTTATGGAGTAGGGTCTTCAGAGCACTGTTCCACTCTAGCAATCCCCAATAGCTGTTTTTTTTACTATTAGTTGAAACAACTTTGTTACTATTAGTTAAAACAGTCACCTCTACCCCTTCTTACATTATGGTCCTCTGCTGAACACAGCTGAGCTGGTTTTGAGGATTGGAGCCTTCATTTCTTGACAAGAACCATTTGTATCTTTTACAAAATAAACTAATTCTCACACATTTAACAGGCATTTCTCAATTGCTAATAATGACAGGCGAAGAAAATGAAAAAAGAAAAACCCCGAGCAAATATTTAAACACTTTGTAAACCAACAATCGGTTTCAGTCAAACTAAACACCAGCTTTCTAGCCTAGAATCCCAGATCTGTACAATCTTGCCCTAGTCAAAATCCCAACCAGTATGACTCTCTTATCCAGTTTTCCTTCCCTCTTCCTCCACCCCAATGTGGAGAGGAAATGCAAAAGCCCTACCTCTTGGGCTAAGATTCCCAGGCACTTCACTCCAAATTCACTGGTTTAGACTCAAACTTAAAAATAAGTTTATTAATTACAAAAAGAGGATTTTAAGTAATGACAAACAAATCAAAGCAGATTACCGTCTAAATAAACAAAAATGTAAACTAAGCACATGGCTTGGATGCTAGCTGCAGTTGCAGCTCCTGAAAATAGTTCTCTTAATAAAGAAAGTTAGTTTTAGAAACATGGATTCCTCTTATGTTATTACCCAAGTTTTGGTATTTGAACAGCCACAGAGACAGAACATTCACTCCTGCTAATATAATGCATCAAGTACAATTAATGACTAATTTCAGATGGAAGGTTTTCATCAGAAGTTTTAAATTGCTCCCCTGATTTTGTCATATTAAAAAGTAAACTCACATCTTACTGAACTAGATCTCCAAATAAAGTACTTTCAATGAGAGAACTTTTTCACTTCTTTTAGGTGCATGGCACAGTTGGAGAGCCCTGGTGGATCTGGGTAGAAGACCCTACTAATGATCACATTTATCATTCAGAGTATTTTGTCATTCAGAAAAAACAGGTAACTCTATCCTTATGTGAAATATCAAAGCATGTAACAATAAAAAAGCTAATAGATACCTTGGGAATAATTACTCTAAATCTCTATGTTGGCACAAACTTGAAATTTACACATCATCATCAAATTTTCAAAATCAGTTTTGTGCCTTTCGATTCTTGATGCATATGCTAAAACTGGGCTTCTACATGGGTGTCCATTAATGTTGTTACAAAAATAAAATCCATTAAAGGATTCACCCCTTTATCTGGCTTCTCTGATGGACAGTTACATGCAGATGAAAAATCAAATCTGTAATGCTTGCTTTTATTAGGATTGTAAATATGTAGTACAGGCAGTCTCCGGGTTATGTACAAGATAGGGACTGTAGGTTTGTTCTTAAGTTGAATCTGTATGTAATTCGGAACTGGTGTCCAGATTCAGCCGCTGCTGAAACTGATCAGGCTGAATCTGGACGCCAGTTCTGACTTACGTACAGATTCAACTTAAGAACCCCAGGCATCCCCAAGTCAGCTGCTGCTGAAACTGATCAGCGGCTGATTCCAGGAAGTTCGGGGC